CTGCAGTGAACAGCAGGTTCGGCACATATGCGGTTAGCTGAGGGCGTCGTTTCGACTGCGACAAGTGCTTTGAATAAAGAACGCTCGACAGATGGCCGCGCTACCCTCTCTTAATTTCACCTCATTATCGAGAAAAATCCCTGCGCCGTACTTAACAATATGGCCCCGCATATTCAACCAACGAACGAATCTCCCCCCCAGAAAATTAACACGCAAGTAAGAGCGAATGCATTTCCATTTAGCGCTGTTGTTCGGACGCGGCACGAAGCAGCTGCTCTCTTCAGACCTAGTCACGTTTCATTTAGTCGCGGCCGCCCCGAAAATATTCATTCAAACTTCAACAAAAACATTTGCATTCACGCGACACACAAGTCAAATGTATACAAAGTTTCAATTTCAAAAGATTTTTAAATCATCAGAAAAATGATAAAATTGTAAAATATAAATTTACGCTTGAAATTAATGTTTATTTTTAACAAAATAGGTCTTTTGGGCTTCAAATATCATAATTTTTTTGAGCAAAAAACATTAAAATTATTTCTTTTTCTAATTAATTGAATTTGATCAAAAAATTCTGTTTCAAAACTTTCATTCGCATGGGCGCTAAATTAAATATTTTCTTGTAAGTTCAAAAATATCCCGCGTTCAACAAAATCATTACCAGAAATCATTTTTTTTAATCTCATAAAAAAAATCGTTGGGACTTTTTCCACCCTAGTTGGAAAAATAAATTCTAGAATAAATTATTTATATTTCTGACACATTTTTTTTTATCCGAAATATGTCTGTGTCGCATCCTTGCAGCAGAAATATGTTTGGACCTCTTTTGATAACAAATTCATGAGGAGGGTCGAGTGGGGGGAACACATTATTTATATTCTCTCTGCGGCGCACCTCGATCGTGTGTTTTCCGAATACATTATTACAGGAGAGCTGGGCTGGGGCGGTGGCCGATAGCGCAGAGCGGCTGGCATATTTCTTGGGCAAAAGAGTTGCAAGCGCTCTCGATCCACCGACATATTGGAAAAGTGCTCCAGATAAAACAGGCACCTCACTTTACTCAACGTCTTTTCGCCCACAATCACTAACTTTCCTATACCTTTTTTATGATGAAAATACCGCTCTGGACATACAGTTATTTCTGTCTTGAAAAATTTGGCAGATTTCACAATTTTTTTTTTTTTTATGTAAAAGTGGAAAATCAATTTGGTGAAATAATTCAGTCTCGGCCAGTCTGAGGCCCCGCGTTTTATCGACTGGATTTTGACAAAGGTGTTGCCGTTTTTTCACAAGTTGTAATTTTGCTCTTTTTATGTGACCTGTGAAGAATGAAACTAAAATTTTTAAATGATATTATTATGATATGAGACTCAAATAATTAGATTTTTTTTAAAAATTTATAAAAGTCAGCTTTTCCTAAAATGTTTGCAATTGAAATGAAGCAAAAATATTTGATCTATTTATGTAATTATTAAATTTGAAAATTTACCAAAAGATTCTAAGAACTAAATATTTTCAAAAACAGACATTTCTGAATTTAAAGCAAAAATTTATTTTCATTAAAAATAATTCTGTTCATTTAAGACGTTTTAAGCAAAGGCGAATAAATGTTTTAGAAGAATTTCACAATTAAAAATTAAAAAAGAAAATAAAATTGCACAATGGTGCTATCAAAAATATTCAAAATTAGGCAAAACATCCAAACTTGATGATAAATTGAGAAAGAAAAAAGCTGTTTTTGAAAAAGATACCTTTCACATGGAAAATTCAAAAGTTTAAAACCAGAATACAAAAAAAAAGCCAAAGTCTGTTGATTTCCATTTGACAATTCAATAGAATTTTTTAAAGTAAAATTTCAAACTGCCTTTTCAGCATGCAAGTTTTTTTACTATACATATCGTGATATCGTGTTTCAATGTTTGGCCGACATTGAAAAAAAGATAATCTGGGAACGGCAACAAAGTGCAGCGTCTGCCAGAATAAATTGAGGCCTGGCGATACGATCGGCGCAATTATCTTTGGCGATCGCGTCCGTCACACCCCAGCAGCACTGCTTATGGTAATAACAATAATCGCAATTCATCGAAATGCGCCGAGTCGACGCTATTCCTTTTTTGTCGCCGGCCGGGGAGCAAAACTACTATCGCCGGCCGCGATCTCCGACCACAACAATAAAATAATCCCTCCTCTCATATTTCCGCGTTTTGTCAAGTGCATTTTATTCCTCCTCGCCTTATTTGCTTTTTTACTGCTCGCGTACAATCGGATCGCTTTACTATGGCCATAAATTATGAATCCGCGAGAGTTCAGGTCGACACCAAAAGCTTTTTCTTTCTTCACAAACAAGGAAGTTATTTATTATATATTGTAAAAAATTTTAATGATTATCATGGAGAAATTTGTAATATTTAATGAAAAAATAAGTCACATTTCTTAAATATAATCAAGTTTTTAAATAATTAATTAGAAAAACAATTATCACAATACTTTGTTTCTTGGATCAAATTGTAGTCAGCCTTTACACAATCGGCTCATTAAGGAAATTAATTTCAATAAGGAATTGATTTGAGGTTAAATTATAAAATTATAAATCGTACATGGTGATAATAACTGTCAATTTTGCCATTGATGCATAAATATTTACATTAATTGAGAAAACAGCTTAAAAGTTTGATTTGAATTAAACTTTAGTTTGAATTATCCACCTTTTGTGGAGCAACAAAACTATTGCGTTATAATTGCATACAGTCTTTTATCAATTTAAAAAATAAATCATATTGCAGTTTAATTTAAACATTCTTTTTACATTTCATACTATTTCCCATAAAAATAATGGAAAATTGTAAAATAAAACATTATTGTATTTTATAATAAAAATTAATGTCTACGAATAAACTATATTTATGTTTTCCGTGGAAATTGTGTGTTCGCTGGGAATAAATGGATTGTGAGCCGGGGCGTGTTAAATAAATTTTCCGCAGCTCTGTTTTCGAAATAATGCAGCAGGGAAGAGAAACATGTCTCGCCCCACGTATAATCGGCTTTACTCGCGGCCTTTGTCAGCTGCGGAGAGATTTTTGCGTGCGGCTTGTTATTTGTGAGAAGCGACACGGCTTGTTTTGTTGATAAGAATTACAAATTTTATTCGCAGTCTCTCTTCCTTAATTGAATTGACGGACGAGCGAGCTAATTTAAAACGGGGCCAGCTTTTTCTAATGCGCAATGTGTGTTTGCGAGACACAAGTGCGTCGCCTTCCCACACCTCAATTAAATTCCTCGCCGCGTTTTAATTAATTTTTCTTCCCCATTCGACGCGAAATTTGGTTCCAAACATAATTCGTATGTTGAAATTCTCCAAATAATCATTGAATTTGCAAAAACTGGAAGCAATTTTTCTTTTGTATTTTCTTCTTTTTAAATTCAAAGGCATTTTTATCGATTTTTTTTCTCTTCATTGTCAGTGGCACAAATAAATGTGCTTGTCTGTGAGAATTTCCGTTTACATAGATTTGCTTGGCCTTGTCGGTCGATTTTGCTCTGCCCCAGAAAAGTGGGAAAAAGATCAGCTACATAGTTACTCTTTGATGGATAAAAAGGCTCTTTCTCTCCTGAGGGACACTTGTCTTCCTCGCCTCTTCTCTCCCCGATTCAATTTCCTGCAGCCGAGCCGAGCGTTTGATCCGAGTGCATTTCACGATCTCAAAGAAAGCCAAATGGCCCGAGACCGACCCTGCAAATATGATTGCACCTGCTTTCGTTTGTTCAATAAGAGAAGAATTGCAACGCGAGGGAGAACTTCTTTCGCACCTGATTGATCGCACAAAAGACGCGCAATTCCGATCTAAAGAGATTCAAAATCGACTTACTGGTAAAAGAGCAAAAAAGTCCTGCTGCTTCCGAAAAGGTATGATTGAGCGCCAGACCAACCTTTTTCTCAAAAACCGATGGCAATTCCTGCAAAAATATTAGGATTTATATCCAAATTTTTCGTAAAATATAAAATATTTTGTAATAATAATTTTCTTTAATTTTTATAATACTTTAATATTTTTGGGTAAATAAAGTGTTTTTTTTAAATTACATAATTATTTTACATAAACAAATTTATTTTCCATTTTCAAGATGTCGAAGAAAAATTGAAGTATTACATAATTTGGACGATTAAACAACAATCAAAAATGAAATTAGAATGAAATCATAAGTCTTTACAACAATTTTAGAAGCCATTTTCGGCGATTAATGAAAATCAATTACTGGAAGTTGTTGTATAGGGAGACTAATTGTGGTATGACTAATAAAAATTTAATGTCAACAAATTTAACATGTCTGAACTCGTAATATTAGATTTTTTATGCCTTTTTTATTTAATGTTTCTATTGTTTAATGAATTTTTAAATTGAGTGTGTAACCGATTGAATTGTTTCTTACCAAACTTTCCTGGAAAAGAACATATGTGCCTCTGCTTTTATTTCCCTTTTAACAAAAGATCAGTCGCAACGCAACACCGCAACCAACAAGACCGCAACAGCACGTTTTTGGGCTCTTTTCTCTAAAAATGACACAGTGTCGCCATCTGTTGCCGCAACGATCAACTTCGTGCAGCTCAAAACGCGCCAAATCCCACCTGTTTCTGCCGGTCTGCTGCAGACGTGTTGTTTTCGTCGTCTCCCAGGCCGATTTTCACCTTTAAATTTCCGGCAATTTTGAAACAACGTGGACTCATAGGTACTTTAAGTGGTCAGCAATGCAATCTATTCGTAATTTTCTGAAATTCTGTTGATTTGTCACGCTTTTTTTCAAAAAATTCTTATCTCATCTTTCATCAAGCTATTTTCTGTTCGCCAGTTTTGACTTGGCTTTTCGGGTCTCTTTTTTCAGTCAGGGATGCCAGTGGATGACATCAGGTACAGTGAAAAGTACACCGACGACCAGTTCGAGTACCGACACGTGCAGCTACCGCCGGACATCGCCAGCAAGGTGCCGCAGACGCACTTGATGACCGAGACCGAGTGGCGCAACCTGGGAGTGCAACAGAGTCCTGGCTGGGTCCACTACATGCTCCACGCGCCCGAGCCCAACATCCTGCTCTTCCGCAGGGCTCTGAACTGCACCGTCGAGTACTTCCACCTCTCCTAAAATGGCCGACCTGGACAACCTGGACGTCGACGAGCTCAAAAAACATATTCGCGAATTAAGCAAAAAACTTGAGGTATGATAATTTTTTTTTATTGATAGCAAGCCTTGATTGATTTGGAGTTTTAGGAGGAAAAGCAGGAGAACTACGGACTGATGAGGAAACTGCAGCAGAAGGAAACTTTGGAACACGACCTGAAAATTGAACATGAATCGGACTTGGCTGACATTGCCAGCAAAGATCAGCAAATTAAGGAATTAAATGCTAAATTGAAGAACGCCAGCAAACCTGTCATTGACACCTCTGAGAGGGTAAATTTCCTAAATATTTGTTACCAATTTAATTTATTTTTCTTTCCAATTGAAGGACAACTTAATTGATGAGCTTCAACAAAAACTGGAAGAACTGGAGAAAGAACTGCGGAAGACAAAGGAAGATTTGGAATTGGCCCAGTCTGAAAAACACAACGAGTCATCTGCTCACGATTTGTCTTTGCTGCGAGTATGAAAGAGTGAAATTCTTAATTCTATGCCAATTAAATAATTAAATTCTAGAATGACTTGATCAACATGGAGACCTTACATCATGAAAAGTGTGATTACTTAGAAGAGCTCCTTTCCAACTTGAACTCCGAGCTGGCAGAAAAAGCTCAGCAACTTTGCCACTTTCAAAGTTCCTCCGAACAACTTCGATCTGAATTGGAGACCATCAAGGAGGAAATTGAAGTAAAACCCAAAAATTTGAAATATGAGTTGTTTTTCAATTGACTGTTTGTAGCAAAAAGACGAAGAGTTGGTTTTCCTGAGGAACGAGTTGATGCTTTTGAGGAAGCCGGAAACTGAGCTCGAGGAAAATAGGGAAAGGGGAAACTCTTTGTTTTCTGAGGTTGAGGACAACCGGGTGAAGGCGATTGCGGCTCTCAAGAATACAACCCGAAGCGCAGAACAGGCGCACCAAGACCTTGCCGTCGCCAAATCGGAAATCCAGGCACTCAAGGTAAATGAATTTATTTTGATTCAACTTATAAATTAACAAAAATCATAGGTAGAGAATTTCTCTCTTCATCGTAAATGGGAAGAACTTGTTTCGACAAACATCATGTTGACCACATTGGAGGATGGTCTGATTGAAAAGCTGAAGGAGAGAATTGAGGTTTGTGTGAATCATCCAATATCCAAATTTACTATAATTCTTGGTTTCATTTTAGGTTTTGAACCGAGAGTTGGACGCCTCCGAGGTCAGGAGTATGCAGAATTTGCTGGACTCGATTCCCAAGTCGACGGTGGACAATAACCAGTGGATCAAGTTAATCATGCAGGACCAGCTGTATGTTGTTTTAAAAAGAAGTTTTTGCTCAAATGTATAACTTTTTTTATTTTTTCTTATTCAGGAAGAAGGAAAACGAGCTCACGATGAAGATTCGCACCCTCGAAATGAATCTGCTTTATTCGGAAGAGGCGCAAATCCAGCTGAGGAAGAAAAGCAACATGTACATTGCCGAGGTCACTGCTCTCAAGGGCGAACTCGGAAAACTCAAACTGGAGGTGGGAAACAGAGTGCCTATGGACGAAGAGGCCAAATATATACCTTTACCTGAAGGTAAATCAAAAGAAAATTAAACAATTCCTGTTCTGACTAAATTCAAATTAGATTCTGGTGACAATGCTCCATACATGACACCCAGCAGAGTCGATGCCTTGAGCAAACTTTTCACCACATTCGAGAAAAAGAACAAGTGCTTCAACGTTAAATTTTCTCCTGGGACCAAAAGTGAGACTCAAGATGATGACAAATCAGAGGTACTTCTTTTATAGAAAAATGTTTGATTTTGACCAATATCATATTTCTGTTTCAGGCTCGAAAGCCGGCCAGGTCTGTGAAAAGTGTCGTCAAGACGACCACTTTTCTAACAACCAAGAAATGATTCCAATAATCCGTCTAGAAATTGAATTCCATATAAGTTGCTTTTTCATCTTGAATGCTCACTTTAATACAGTTTCCTTGATACAAATTAAACAAGTAAATGCAAGTATTTGTTATTCAAATAAAATTTTACCAATGATATATGAGGAAATAAATTTTTAAACAAACAATTTAAAGAGTTTTGAAAAGAACCAATTTATTTAATGAGATATATATTTTTCCGAAATTTTAAAAGGGTTTCAGATGAACCGAAATGGCAAACTGCCAAAGATAATTTTTTTTTTTTATCATACTAAATCATACATATACAATTCTCCTGCAAACTCCGTGATACGAAGTTAATCCTGACGCACAGTTCTTTCGTGCGGGGGCTGAGGCCAGTGCAAAGCAGTTCTCTTCACGAGAGCCGTCTGGATTCAATTTGATTTCGCATTCTGAATTGCGGTCCAAATATAGTACATCGCCTTCTTGTTGCGCTAGAATTAAGGAATAACGAAAAGTTTAATCAGCCGTGAAAACCATTTATGTATTAATTTTGTCAGTATCATGAACACATTTATTGAGTTTTTTTTTTTAAATACAAATTGGTTTAGTTGAAAGCGTCAATACTAAGCAATCCAATTAATTTCTCGCCTGTTTCAAAATATATCCCCACCCTTATGATTATTTCTTTTGCCTTATATTTTTTCATTGAAAGCGCTTCTAACTTTTATTTCTTAAGCATTAAAAAACTTATCATTAGCTTTATAAATTTAAATTGTAATTTTGAAATGATATTTTGATACAAATAAATTTATAGGGTGTGTTATTTTATTAAAAAAAATATCAGATTTTAGCAACATTTAAGCTTCTTTAAGAGTTAAAATCAAAATTAAATTGTTTGCTGTTGCCCCTGAAACCAATTGAACTGGAACATTTTCATTTTATAATTAAAGTATATCGAAATATGAAAAAGGAATTAAAAATTCATTTGCGTTAACAGTAAAATAACCATACCTTGCGCAGACACAATGGCTAAAAGGAGAAGTAAAGCCGCGACTTTAGGGAAGGTGCACTGCATCATGCTTGCGATTCTGTTCCGAAGATGCGAATGTTGTTTTTCCTGCTTGCGGGTTTTCCTTTATATAATGTGCGGCCAAATGAAGAGGCAGCAAGGCCAACTGGTTTCTTTATTTAGCACACATACGTGAGAACACAATTTTGTTAAAAATTTTCCTCGTTCATTAAATTATAAAAGAAGTTTTGAGTGGCTGATTTACCGAAACGTCGTTGCTGCGCAAAATTTGCGGTGGATATTATTTATGAAAAGAAACATGTCCCCTCTCTGGTCTTTTTCGCTTTCATGTTGATATTATAGTGTGGCGATTTGAGAAAATCCAGTTTCGGCCAGCTGTGGCCAAGTTCATGGTACATGCATATAAAATATATTCATTTTTTAATTATGTTGGATATGATGATGTAAGTCTTACATGAATTGTGTGGGGATTATTTAATATTTTGTAAACAGTAGATCATGTACCAGGAAAATTAATTAATTATTCACTTGACCTCTCAATTTAGCAAATTAATAGCACAGCACAATGCAACATTAATTGTGTGTATTATTTTTATAAAATTAGGTACAAAAACACTCGTCTTTTTTATCACAAAAAGTCCAGGTTTATTTGATTGATTTTAATTATTCAAGAGAATTTCACTTCAGGGCCGGACTGGGGCAAAGTTCGAACGTAGGGAAATTTCAATCAAGGTGGCTGAGGTGGCTCGTGGGACTGGCGCATCCTCCTTGGGCGCATCCAACCTCCGCAAACCCCCCCCCCCCCCGATGTGATTAAAAAGAAATACACTAGAGTGAGACCACTAGAAATTTTAGGTTTTTTGTTTTAAACCAGAACAACTTATTTATATATATATATATTTATATATATATATATTAATAAAAATAGCCCTCATTTAGACCTGAAATTTTTTAATTTCTTCGGCTAATTAAATTATAGCGGTCATGTGTCTTTCCAATCAAATCGCTTTTCTTTCGGCCTTTTTCATATGGATATGTTAAAAAAAGGAAAATATGGAAAATATCAATTTATTTAAAAATTGGAAAAATTAATTGCTGCAACAACAAAAGTAGCACTTTTATATTCTTTAAGACCTGAAAATCGGATGTTTTTAAACCTGAATCTTGGAATTTTTTTATTTCTACTGTTATTTTGATCAGCGGGCGAAATGCTTTTTTCAATTGAATTTGCCCTTCTTTCGGGGCGTCTCTAATTTACGTATATGTTCATAAATGGAAAATATAATTATTATTATTATTATGTTTGATGTATTAAATAAACTTAATGGTGCCAAAAAAGGAGCCCCTGAGGAACGTATTTTTTTTAAATTCCTAATTTATGCATTAGTATAATTCTCTTTTGTGTTCTGAGCACGAGGAAATGTACACAGCTTCCCATGCAAAGAAAAGGGCAAAGCAATCACGCTAGCCTTTTTTCCCGCCGTCGATCGCCACGCCTTCTCCCAACTTTTGTTTACATCGGAGACAGAGGAGCGATCGAAATTAAATTTTCCATTTATTTTAATTTCGTTGATTTGTATTTAAAACGATGTGTCTTCCTGCTTGTGCTAGTGAGATTTCTTCTCGTTAAGGTAATTTACACAATGAATTAAAAGCTAACAAAATTACTATGTCCTTCTTCTACAGCTTTTGAAAAATAATGCTGCCTTCCATCCATTAAATAAATATTTTAAAATAATATAGAAGATGGAACAAATAGACTATAAAGACTTGAGGTGAGATTTTAATTTGGTAATTATTTCAAGGAATTTTGAAACAAAATTCTAAAGTTGAGATTTAAGCAAAAAAATTAGTGTCTGTAAAATGAAAAATTGCTTTCTAAGTTTGTATTCCACCGTTTATAAAAAAGGCATCCTTTTTATTTCGTAGCCCAGTCGAACGTCGCAATTTCGTTAAAATAATTGAAAGCAGGAGAAGAAATTACGGCGCAAGTAAAGGTACTTCTGATGTTGAAAGTTTGAAGAGGCTGTCGATGAAAACAATTGCCCGGAGCTACATGTTTTTCATCAAACAAAAACCTAATTCACTGAGGCACTTGCGTAAACTTGCAATTATTTTTAACTGAATGTTAAAATGTTCAAATCCGAATTATTTGCAGCTGATACTCTCATCCAAGAGTTCCTTGAATTGATAAGTGGTGAAATAACGATGATTCCAATTTTCGAAAGATTGTTTCTGAAGAAACTGCTGAACTCGAACACAACCAAATTTGACGGATGCGAATTTTCCTGGGGAATGAAATTCCATACGTGGGACGATATTTTCAGCCACCTTTTGAAAAATTGCCCAAAAGTTTACAAAATTGTCCAGAATGATGAATGGCATTACGATATTTATAGTCCAGACTGGCCCATGGAAGATTTGCTCCGGTGGACAAAGTTGGAGCACGCCAGTCTCTCCAGCTACGTCTGCTCTGACGAACACTTGGAACTAATTCAACAGCACTTGCCTCGACTCAAGTGTGTACCAACAATTTATATACAAAAATTTAATATGTAAAAAAACATTGATTTCAGGCACCTCGAGATAGGAATGGGGAAAAACACAGAAAAAGCTGTCAACGCTTTTTCAAAAATGCAGAATCTCAAACACCTCGGCATCACAGCAGGCTGTCGATCTGCTGAGATTGATTTTCCACTTCTGGCGCACTGCGTCGGTCGAACGCCCAATCTGCAAAGTTTTCATCTTCATGAAGCCCACTTGAGCTATACTGGCCAGTTTGATTTTGTCTTGATGTTCTGGAAAATGTATTGGTATAAAAAAATCACCATCACACAAATGACGTATAAATTACATTTGATTTCGTGAGGATCATTCTTGACATTTATTCTTTACTTTTCCAGTGTAAATCTACCAATCAAAATTAACTGGCCGTCCAATGTGTCTGTTGAAAACCTTCACGTTGATATTGATCAAAGCTCAGCAGTGTATATCAAGAGACTGTCTTCTGTTCCTTGCTCGCCTGCAGGGCTTGTTGTGACTGCTGACCCCGTTTATATTTACTTGCTAGTTGAAATCCTTGGGCAGAACACCAAATCCATTGAAATCAATACACCTCGATTGGAATCGGAGAAGGTGCCCCTTGACCTATCAGTCGTTCTTAAGCACTGCCCAAAGTTGGAAAATCTGCGCTGCTTCTCTGATGGCTTCTCCCTACCTCATAACATCAGAAAGTCGCCAGAACTGTTCAGAAACTTGAAAAAGTAAGTAAAAGTGTTTGTGTTTTCTTGTGGATTATCCGATGATTTTTTTTCTCCAGTTTTGAGTTCATCACTTCAACAAACACTTGGAATCAAGTTCTCCAAGACGACTCAAAAGCAAATGAATTTTACAAACAGTTCCTGCTTGGCTCAGAACGCCATGACTGCAAAAACTTTGAGGTTAGCAACCTGGGCCAAATTCTTGCTATTTCGGAGGCTCTAGCGGTACGGCCTGAGTGTTTGAAGCTTCTAGAAAATGTCAGTGTGCTTTTGTACAATTATTCAATGTTGGAGGCGGCTCTGAAGGTACTGCTTGCCATTTTCTTGCTGCCAAACCTTTCAGCAAATTTGTTGCTCTAAAATTTCAGATGGTCCAGTGCCTGATCTTCTGCTCTCCAAATCTCAAGAAAGTTTATATTTGCTTTCTGCTCAAAACAACCTCATTCATCCAGAGGGCCATTGACAAAGACCACAGTTGGTTCAAAGAACTTGTCACTAAAGTTGGAGTCGTCTGCAAACTTGTTCCGGACCGCTCATTTCCCGACTTGGCATTTCTTGAAAGGAACGGCAATTTCGGAGACTTGATAAATGATGATGTTTACTGCTCAGGGGAAGAGATTGATGAGGACGTTGTCATGGAGTAATTTCGGGAAGAATTCAATTGGTCTGCAGAAGAAAATGTTTCGTTGGACCAACAAAATCACCAAGTTCTTCAAAATCAAGGTGAACTTAAGTGCAGGCTCAAGCCTAGAATCGTCCCAAGTCTTCACTTCAACTCCATTAATGTTGTAGAGGTAAGAGTTGAAAGTTTGATTTGTCTGTTAGATTTTTGAAAATGGAATTGATTTAAACTGAAGTATTATTTTATTACAATCAGCTGTGCCAAATGTTTGATTCAAAGTGGCCTACTTGAAAATATAAAATATTCTTTAAAATGTTGCGAGTTCAATTTTCGCACATCAACAGCGCCAACCACATTTGCAGGACACAATGCAGGTGGGGGAAGCTCTACTTTTTCCTCTAACACCAAGTTTCAACATAATAAAAGCTGGGAATTTTTAGAAAAAGTAAATACAATAGGCATTGTTTTGTCCATGGCCGAGATGACGCCGTTCAAAACGTCCAGCGCTTTTTCCTATGTGCACTGAATACTGAATTTTTTGTGCTGCCCTATCGCAATCGTCCATGCACGCTAATTTTTAGAATATTCAAATGATTTCAATTGGAATAAAAAATAAAAATTATAATTTTACATGCAGATTTTTCACACTCGCCCTTGACATCCATATTTTTATTCAACTCGTCCAAATTTCCTGCAGCCATTTTTTCCAAAATCGCCAACACGCCATTCTCCACCGTCAAGGTTGATGCGCTCCGGAGCGCGAGCGTTGGTTTTTTTATGTGGAGAGCGCGAGCGTTACTTGCTGCAAAGAGCGCGAGCGTTCCCAAAATTAGCGCGCGTCAACCTTGGGTTGACACAAAATTATTTAATTTATACAAAATATTATAGTAATAGGCACAAACCTCTCTTCATAAATCCAGTTGACAATTAAATAAATAGTTTCTTTTAAGACAAAGAATGTTTATATTTCCTTCATTTGTACGGGTAAAAGAAAAAACCTTTACCAATTATATTTATTTTATTGCATTATGGGATCAATTAAAGTCTCGTCTGCTCGCAAAGTACATATTCAACCCTGCTAGATTCATCATACGTTTCCAATATCTTCATGTGCAGTTTTAGAGCGTATGAGTTGTAAGTCAAGTTGGAATCGACCACTGAAGCATAACCGTCCATACTGAAGGGCAGGGAGGACAAACACCAGCGCGGGTTGTTCAAACTGCCCTTCCTGCTCGCGGCGAGCCACGTGTACTTATTTAGACCTTTGTTCACTGAGGAAAATCACAGCAAAAATATTAATTTTTTCAAAGCAAAATAAATACGCTCACTTATCCCATTTTGCAAGCACAAAATTTTCTCTGCGTTGTCAATTGTCACCAATTGAAGGCCAAAAGTGTTGCAAAAAGTATAGCCCTCTGAGAGGGAAGTCTGCATTGAAAATCAATTTTTATGCCATTTTAAAGCTGCCTCCACGGCTGTATACCTGATTTTTGGAAAGCAGGTACTTCCGTCCACAAGCAATAATATGATTGCCGCCAATGATTGTTCTGTTGGCTGCAAATCAACATTTCATGAGTATTTCTCTTTTTTTGGTGAAAATAATTCCGAAATTACTTGTGGTCGAATCAAACACCTGCTTCAAAGTTGCCTGAAAAACGTTTCAAAACTAAAATCTTTACTATAGAAAATTTTGATTTTCACACATTAACTACGCCTGGGACATATTCAGTGCAGTTTGCAGCTGCAGGAAATTCTACTTTTTCCTGGAAATGAATCCGATTGAATAAAATTTTGACTTTGAAGGAAAAAAAATACAATAGGCATCGACTTGTCGATGGCCGAGATGACACCATTTAAAACGTCCGGCGCTTTTTCCTTTGTGCACTGAATCATTTGCGCCGCCCTGTCGCACTCGTCCATTCCCGCTAATTTTTTAAAATATTCACTTAAATTTAATTGGGATGGTTATTAAAAATTCTAATTACACGCCGATTTTTCACACTCGTCCTTGACATCCATATTTTTCTTCAACTCATCCAAATTTCCAGCAGCCATTTTTTCCAAAAACGCCAGCACATCAGTGTCCACCATTTTTCCGTTCACAATCTTTGACCAAAAGTTTAATTATTTCATTCATAAAATTATTGTACTTAACCAAGCCTGAATTTTCTCCAAGGCATTTCATAAAACACTGTAAATATAAAACTAAATTTAATTTCAGATTGTTAAAAAAAAATGAGAGAATCACTTTAAGTCGCAAGTCTAAACTTTTCATGTCGAGTAAACCATCAATTTCAACTGTAATATATATTTTTTTAGCTGCCAGTTTTCCATTCAACTTTGTTTTATATTGAAATTAACCTTGGCTGACGTTGTATGCCAACGCACACTCGCTTCTAATCGCTTCTCCGCCCGACGAAGCATTAGAGGAATCGCGAGCCTGAAATTTATTATTATAAATTTCAAAATTTGTAAATTATTTCTCAAGTGCCTCGCAAATGTATCTAAATTTGGAGTTCTCGTCAAAGTCGTAGAGAAAAGCGTGAGTTCCGTTGAGAAAAACAGCCACGGCATGTTCACTTTTGTTTGCATTGTCTGGCTGTCCATCCGCCCAAATGGCCTCTTTCCGCAAAAGTCTCTTGGCGCTGCAGAATCCGTAATTTCCTTCGCAACCCGCGTCCGAGCCCGACGTCCAGAAAAAATCTTGGAAAGCGGTCGCTGCATTTAAAAACAATAACTTCATTAGAAATAATTACCGAAAAGTAATTTTCGGCAACTGGCGCTGCGTGAAAGTCAACTCGTTTGAATATTTTGCATCGACATAAAGCATTTTTATATCTTATATAAAAGGATTTTTAAATTACATTTTTGATCAACAAACTTCACCTTTAGTTGCGGCAATAACTGATTTATATTTGTAGTCGTACTCCAGACTGAGCAGATTCATCCCCAACTGGCAACACGCTTGAATCGCGCCTTGAAACTTTAATCAAGATCAATTTTTGCGCTTTTCCAAAGTGTCCGACTTTTACTGTTTTGTTGATTCTTTGAAAGCTGAAGAGAAATTGTCTTCCGTTGTAGGTGTACCAAGTGCCATGTAATGTTGGCTCTATGAGAATTAAGTTTTTCTTTAGATTTTCCAGCGTAAATCATTATTCTTACTGCTCAAATATTGTCCCTTGGCGTCGCTTGTGAAGAGTGATAGCTGAAAATTGAGCCTTATAAATTCGCCCAGATATATTCTTTTTTGTTACGTTTTTTGCGCATGTTATGTTGGGACAAAGAGGTTCCGAGCAAGCAGGTGCCGGGGTCGGTGGACTCTTGAATAATGTAAAAGAATAATACAAATTTTTAATTTTTATATATTTTTCATCAATTTCTTTTACCTGGCAAGCAAAATATGATAATTCGTTACACAAATTGCTTGAAAATTGGGAATTGCTTGCTTTGAATTGAACACATTTTCTGTCGTCCGTGATTTGTGGCAATGCGATCAATTTGTCCACGGTAATGGGACCATTTTGCGCGCACCACGAAATTTGGCTTGTTGCATTTCCTTTAAAAGCGGATGTCCAAAAGTTTTTCAAAATATTGACAGATTTGAGATAATTTGCAAAACAATCGAGTTTTTTCACGCTTTTGAAAGATAAAGGCTCCATTCTGAATCGTCGACATTTCATTAAATTGTCTTCCCAGGACGACTTTTACAGAATAGGAAAACAATAATTAAATATAAAATAAAATATATTCACACTTTTACACACCAGAGTTTTTCCTAGCAAAAACTGCTGTTCGCACGATTGAACCCATAAACCGTACCCATCAGGATCTTTTATACAAATTTTATCACTTTCCTTTCTTCTTGTGAGTTTTATGCATAAATAATTTTGATTTTTACCATTTAAAGTTCCATCGGAGTTGAAGAGCGTATGCTCCTTTTACATACAAAAACTCTTGTTTACAAATAAATCGATTTTATAGTCATTAAAGCTACGTTTGGCAGTATTTTGGTGGCGCACGTAGGATCCATTTGAATCTGTTAATGTGTTTCGCGAATTTATTGCCAATATTTTTTTAATTCAATCTCTGGCTACAACTCACAAGAGGAACTGCTGTTGTTGTTGGTGGTAGTGTTGGTTGAGTTGTCCGCAAGTTTTCACTCTTTGCAGTGATGTCTGTTGACTGAACAATTTTGCCATTATTTGTGCTCACCTATTGTTTATTGTTTTATTTTAGTCACCAAAGTTGAATAATTTGTAATTAAAAGTCCCGGCGTTGAACTTTCCTGCGTTTCGGAAACACTGAAAAGATGCTTTTCTTAAACAATTGCAGAAGAAAACTTCAAACATACTCTGCTGAATTTGACGATTGTATTTCTTCTATTGATTGCGTCATTTCTTCAACTTCTGAACTCGTTATCTCCCCTGTTTTTTCAGCCTCTTGATCGTCTATTATTGTTGCTTTTGTTGGTTTCGACTTTTTTCATAATTTTAAATAAAAGCTGCGAAATAAAATCCAACTAACCTTGTCTGAAGTTGAAGTGACGTTTTCAGGCTTTTCATTTTTGCTGGAAAATCCAAAGCAACTTTGTAAACCGCAGCACTTTACAATTTTGCTTCGTCTTGAACTTCTTCTGTTGGCTACAAATTAACACAGTCAAAAACTCTGAATTTATAAATCTGTATTTTCAAACAAGGAGAGAGCCTTCTGATGTAAACTGCAGCATCGACGTCATAAATTTCAAGTGCCTAAATCATTCTTGCGATAAGAAGTTTTTGTGTAAAACTGTGCAACTTTTTTATACCAAATGGATAATAATTAAGGAAAACAGGTGCACGAAAACGTCCATGCTCTTGCGTCCTATCAAAAGTTACATGTTGCATTACATTCTTGGTGTCCTACCGCTTTCATATGTCTGGTGTTTGCAGTGCATAGCGGGACTTCCCAGTCGGAAACTACAAAACGGCAAAAAGCGAATTCTATGGGCATTTCAAATAGACAGTCACACATTTATTTTGCTTCACATCAGCCTAGAAATAACATTGGACAGAAAAATTATTTCTGGGATGATTTATAAAAATATTTTTTCGTTCCTTCGGATTAAAAGAGATGAGAATTTACTTACATAATAATGAACTATTAAAAGTAAATTATTTTGCGAATGGAAAATGTTGTTCACTTCCTATTTCCATATGAGTGGAAAACCCATCCGTTACACAATGGTTTTTTTCCTTTAGCGTTGACGCAGACAAGATTTTATTTTTATTTGTATAGAAAAATCAGATGGATCAAAATTTGTGTAAAATTAGTTAAATTTAAAAATTTGAATCCTTCACATTATACTTAAAAATTGAAACATAATATAATATTTAAACTTTTTTCTTTCAGCAATCTAATTATTATTGATGTATTTATTACCCTCTTCAATGAGCAAACGAATGACATTAATCTAAAACTTTTACATAATAAAAACAAAAACCCATTTCAATTTGCATTTAATATCTTTTTTACCTGCATGAAATCAACTTTTTTTATACTGACACGTAATATGATTTCTGCATTTTGTACATTATCATGATGATTATAATTTTTGTTTCTCTTTGTTTGTTTTGCAAAAAGTTTTTCTTAATATGCGGTCGACTGTTCTAATATAAAAAACGTACTAAACTTGTCATTTTAGTTGCAAATTGTGTTTTGCTTTTAAGAGCTCGAGGAAGATGGAAAACATCAAGGTAAAGGGCCTTTGTGTCACTTTTTCCCGCCGTCCGTGCGGTCCGTGCCTTCAGGACAGGAGACTTGTAAAAGTTCTCTCGCTTTATATTTATTTTCAACGTTTCCCACCTCTATCAGCTAGCGAGAGATTATTTTGATAAAAAATTTTAATCTAATAAAATATTTAAATTATTAACCTTGATTGATGCGCACCATTGCACAAAATTCTTTACATTTTTTCTCGTAACTTTAATGCTAATTCGTGAGTCAAAGCATCCAATTACCTTTCTTTGACTTGGATTTTTTCTGGCTAAAAAAAATTAGGCCACGCGATGGTTAAATTTAATTAAGTAAATAGTTACAAAACTATACAATATAGAGACAAAAGCTAGATGATTAGTAAATAATTGATTAAATTTATTAGTCATTCAATTACAACAACTTTTTATGAAATCATTTTACGCCGATGAAAGTTTTCATATCTTTTTAATTCGTCCAGGGAAAAAATGGGAAAAGTCTTGCTGGTTTGAAACTTGAATCCAATTTTATTTACTTTATTTCGCACTTGTCTACTCGCAAAGTGCAAATTCAACCATGCTTGATTCATCATACGTTAATAACACTGACGACTGCAGTTTTAGAGCGTACGAGTTGTAAGTCAAGTTCGTCTCGATCACTGAAACGTAAGAGTCCAGACTGAAGGGCAGGGAGGACAAACACCAGCGCGGGTTGTTCACATTGCCCCTCCTGCTCGCGGCGAGCCACGTGAACTTTATTGCACCTATGGCCCCTGAGAATATGAAATAGATGAAATCATTTGTACAAAAATTCTTCTTCTGCGTACGTATTTCCTTTTTCAAGCACGCAACTTCCGCTACGTTGTCAATGGTCACCAATTGAAGGCCAAAAGTGTTGCAAAAAGTGTAGCCTTCTGAGAGGGACATCTGTTTAAAATTGATTTTTATGCTTCTTTAAACTCATCTCCGCGGCTTTATACTTTCTTTTGGGATAGCAAGTACTTCCTTCCACAAGCAATAAAAAGATAGCCGCCAGTGATGGTTTGGTTCGCTGTAATCAAGATTTAATGTTTCTTTTTTGGTAAAAATAACTCCAAAATTACTTGTAGTTGAATCAAACAGCTGCTTCAAAGTTACCTGGAAAGTTTCAAACGATTCAAAATATCGCCATAACAACGGATCGGATTTTCACACATTAATTACGCCAGGGACAATTTCAGTACAGATTTCCGCTGGAGGAAATTCCACCTTTTCCTGGAAAGGAATCTGATTGAATAATTTGGGCTTAAAAATTGAAGCAAATATACAATAGGCATTGACTTGTCGATAGCCGAGATGACGCCGCTCAAAACGTCCGGAGCTTTTTCCTTTGTGCACTGAATCATTTGCGCCGCCTTATCGCACTCGTCCATCATGCCCGCTGTTTTTGAAATTTGATATTTCAATTAATAGAATCGACGCAATTTAGAAATCCAATTACATGTTGATTTTTGGCACTCGTCTTTGACGTCCATATTTTTCTTCAACTCGTCCAGATTTCCATTGGCATTTTTTTCCAAAATAGCCAACACATCATTGTCCACCATGATTCCATTCACAATCTTTCATCAAAAGTTTAATTATTTTATTAATAAAATTAATTTTACTTTTAACCAGTCCTGAATTTTCTCCAAGGCATTTCAAAAAACACTGAGTTTATCAGAGTTATTTTCTGGCCAGACAAAAAAAAAAGAATTCACCTTCAAACGCAGATCGTACGATGTCATGTTGAGCAAACCATCAAATTCAACTTTTTATTTAATTCAATATTGCATTTAAAATTTAAAATTTTATATTGAAATAAACCTTGGCTGATGTTGTAGGCCAACGCACACTCGCTTCTTATCGCTTCTCCGCCCGACGAAGCATTTGACGAATCGCGAGCCTGAATTTTTTAATTTTAAATTCAAACTAAACTAATTTTTTATTGCCTCGCAAATGTATCTAAATTTGGAGTTCTCGTCAAAGTCGTAGCGAAAAGCGTGAGTTCCGTTGAGAAAAACAGCCACGGCATGTTCGCTTTTGTTTGCATTGTCTGGCTGTCCATCCGCCCAAATGGCCTCTTTCCGCAAAAGTCTCTTGGCGCTGCAGAATCCGTAATTTCCTTCGCAACCCGCGTCCGAGCCCGACGTCCAGAAAAAATCTTGGAAAGCGGTCGCTGCATTTAAAAATAAAAACTTCATCAGAAATAATTACCGAAAAGTAATTTTCGGCAACTGGCGCTGCGTGAAAGTCAACTCGTTTGAATATTTTGCATCAATGCATATTTTTTGACATAAAGTATTTTTATATGTTATTTAAAAGGATTTTTAAATTAAATTTTTGATCACCAAACTTCACCTTTAGTTGCGGCAATAACTGATTTATATTTGTAGTCGTACTCCAGACTGAGCAGATTCATCCCCAACTGGCAACACGCTTGAATCGCGCCTTGAAACTTTAATCAAGATCAATTTTTGCGCTTTTCCAAAGTGTCCGACTTTTACTGTTTTGTTGATTCTTTGAAAGCTGAAGAGAAATTGTCTTCCGTTGTAGGTGTACCAAGTGCCATGTAATGTTGGCTCTATGAGAATTAAGTTTTTCTTTAGATTTTCCAGCGTAAATCATTATTCTTACTGCTCAAATATTGTCCCTTGGCGTCGCTTGTGAAGAGTGATAGCTGAAAATTGAGCTTTATAAATTCGCCCAGATATATTCTTTTTTGTTACGTTTTTTGCGCATGTTATGTTGGGACAAAGAGGTTCCGAGCAAGCAGGTGCCGGGGTCGGTGGACTCTTGAATAATGTAAAAGAATTATAAAAATTTTTAATTTTATATATTTTTCATCAATTTCTTTTACCTGGCAAGCAAAATATGATAATTCGTTACACAAATTGCTCGAAAATTGGGAATTGCTTGCTTTGAATTGAACACATTTTCTGTCGTCCGTGATTTGTGGCATCGCAATGGACTTGTCCACGGTAATGGGACCGTTTTGCGCGCACCACGAAATTTGGCTTGTTGTATTTCCTTTGAAAGCGGACGACCAAAAGTTTTTTGAAATATTGACAGAATTCAGATAATTTGCAAAACAATCGAGTTTTTTCACGCTTTCAAAGGATAAAGGCTCCATTCCGATTTGTCGACACTTCATCACATTCTCTTGCCAGGTTGCCTTTTAATGGAAAGTGCAATAATAATTAAATATAAAATATTTATATACACATAATATTTAGCAAACCAAAGTTTTCCCCAGCAAAAACTGCTGTTCGCATGACTGAACCCATAAACCGTACCCATCAGGATCTTAAATACATATTTTATCACTTTTCTTTCTTTTTGTGCTTTTTTGTGTTTAAATTTTTTTACCATTTAAAGTTCCGTCAGAGTTGAACAGTGCTTGCTCCTTTTATATTTAAAAAAAACTATTGTTTACAAAAAAGTTGATTTTATAATCGTTAAAGTTACATTTGGCAGTATTTTGGTGGCGCACGTGGGGTCCATTCGAATCTGATAATTTTTTTCCGCATTTATTGCCATAATATGTTTTTAATTCAAACTCTGGCTGCCACTCACAAGAGGAACTGCTGTTGTTGGTGGTGGTATTGAGGTCCGCAAGTTTTCACTCTTTGCAGTGCTGCCTGTTGACTTACCAATGTTCTTGCTCTCCTCTTGTTTTTTTTTAGTCCCCAAAGCTGAAAAATTTGTAATTAACAGACCCGGCGTTGAACTTTCCTGCGTTTCCGAATATCTTAAAAGATTCTTCTCTTAATCACTCCTGGATGGAAAACTGAAAATACTGCTCTGCTGAATTTGTAGACTGAGTTTCTTCAACTTTCGAACTCTCTCCTGTTTTTTCATCATTTGTGGGTGAAGTCGTACTTTGAACCAGTTCCGTTTGTTCAACCTCATGATCGTTCATTGTTGTTGCTTTTGATGATTTCAACTTTTTGTCTTCATAATTTTAATAAAAGCTGTAAAAAAACATCAAACTAACCTTGTTTGAAGTGACGTTGGACATTTCATGTTTTTCATTTTTGCTGGAAATTCCTAAGCAACTTGGTAAGCTGCAGCACTTTATTATTTTGCTTCGTCTTGGACTTCTTCTGTGAGCTGAAAATTAACAGTCAAAAACTCTGTATAAATTTATAAATCTGTATTTTCAAACAAGGAGAGAGCCTTCTTATGTAAACTGCAGCATCGACGTCATAAATTTCAAGTGCCTAAATCATTGCTGTGATATTAAGAAGGTATTATAAAAACTGTGCATCTCCTTTTATACCAAATTGATAATAACTAATAAGGAAAATAGGAATCGAACAAAAAAGTTCATGCTCTTGCGTCCTATCGAAAGTTACATTACATTCCTGGTGTCCTCCTTTTTCATATTTGATTTTTGTGGTAACGGGACTCCCCAGTCGGAAATTACAAAATAAAAAATGCGAATTTTATGAGCATTTCAAATGAACAAACGAACATTTATTTTGCTACACATTAAGAAAAATATGGCATAGGGCGGGGAAATATTATTTATGGGATTATTCAAATATTATGACGTTCATCTGAATTTAAAAAAAAATGTAATTACATAAATGAATAATTTTGCGAATGTAAAACTTTGTTGACTGTCTGTTTTCATATATGAGTGGAAAATCCAGCAGTAAAACCCATTCGTTGCAAAATTATTACTTTCCTCTAGCGTTGACGCAGATCTGACGCAGAAAAGAGTTTTTTTTTTTTAAATTGTTTTCTTATAAAGTCAGATGGGATCAAAAGTAGTTAAATTTAATCCTTCCTATTTTATACATATTATCATTGTTGTTTATGTTTAATTTGTCCACATTGCACAAAAAAAATCAAAATATTTGAATATTTGTTCAACAATCTTATTATTCGTGATTTGAATTTTAAGTCGGCTTCCTCGATAGGTTTTGTGAGTTGTTTATAGTTTAAGAAAAACAATAAATATCCTGATCTACATGTTTCGAGGGAAAGCCAACTTTCAATTCAAATCACCACGAATCAAACCTCGTTCGTGAAATTCTACTACAAAACCTTATTATTATTCTTATCATTGATTTATTTATCGCTGTCTTAAATATGCAAAAAATGTCACGGTCATATAAATTTACAACATAAACACATTCCAATTCGCATTCAATAATTTTTTACTGTGATATCTACTTGTTTTATGCTGAGACGCCCTGAGACGTATTTCAGCATTTTGTTGTGAGGTGCGTAATGTAATTTTAATTGAGGGGTAAATATGGTAAATAATTATCGATAATTATGTTGCGATTTTCCAAATCAGTTGTGTAGATAGTTTGGTATTTTTTTTTTCATTTTTTATTATATATATATTTATAAATTTACGCGACTTATAGATCTGATATAAAATTGATAAAATTATCTAAAACTTGATAGACGAGCACAGACGAGCACGAGGAAAAGATACAAACTTCCGAGTGTGAGAGGCCCTTGGTATCACTTTTCCCGCCATCCATGCGACGCGCGCGCCATCTACACCCATCATCAAAAGAACAAAACTGAACACTGAACGCATCTTACCCTATTGTTTACATCGGAATGGGGTGAAATTTTTCTCGATTTGGACTCATTTCGTGATTTGCATTTTAAAAGTTTATCCTCCTCTGTTTGCGATAGGTAAGTGAACGATAAAAAGATGATTAGCCCTGCTAAGTCACCGCATCTTTTTAAGGTGTTCTATTCCAAAAAAATTGATGTGTACATTTCATTTCTTGAGATAATATTATAATTTTGAATGAAAATTTTTGATTTTGTCCTTTTTGATCATGCCTTAAAAACTGTAAAATTTCCACCCAAGTGAGCAGCAAAGATGGAACCGATAGATGATGTAATAGGAAATTCGTGCAAAGACTACTCTTCTTCCGAGGCTGTCGATGATGGTGGGTGTAAAAAGCTTGATTTCTTATGTATGCATCATACATTAAAAAATCCATTATTATAATAGAATTGCTGATTGTTGCGGTGATTGAGCCCAAAGTTACTGACGAGGATGTTGAAAAAGCCCGTGGTCTCAAATTGCCAGACTCATTCTATGCCTACGAGCAACGACCTGCTTGCAGTGGTTGCAGGGGCTGCGAAAATGAAGGCGATGATGCAAGCCCTACCACAGAAAAAGATCAAGATGAGGAGCAAAGTATTTGCATTTGAATTTTCTTTTAGTATTTGTTGACCAAATAAATTAATGTTTTTAGTGTTCGCCCAAAGAGCAAAACTTTATCAATACGACTCTGAAAGCAGGAAATGGATTGAACAAGGAGTCGGAGAGATGAAATTGCTCTACCACCAGGCCAGTGGCAGGTACAGACTTCTGCTGCGCGAAGAGCAGGTCCAAAAGGTTGTGCTGAACCAGTTGCTCACAACAGACTTAGAGATGAAACCCAAGAAACAGACTAAGAATGCTCTTTTGTGGTCTGGATTCAACCATGCTGAAGGAGAGGGAAAATTTGAAGAACTTGCAATCAAATTTAAAGTATGCACCAACAATGTTACAATAAATTTTTACTCAATTATATTTTAAATTATTTACAGAATCAGGAATTGGTTGACAATTTCAGAGAAAAGATTGAAGAAGCCAAAGAGCAGTTAGCCTCAATGGAGACGAAACCTGCTCCTTTGGCCAGCAAGCTTAAAGGGCTAACCAACCCAAACTCTGCTCCTTTTGCTAACAAAGAAGACACTGACAAGGAAGAAACCTTTTCTGGTTACGAACAAATGGAAGTGATGGATGAGGAAACCATATAGGGGCACAGTGCCTGACATAATATTATTGCCTTCATGCAATAATTGAGTATAAAATCTAAAAACTCTTGTTTGCTATTTGATGACTAATGAAAGGCCAAGATGGAATAATTTAAGATATAAGTCGCCTATTTTTATCTAAACAAGATTTTGAAATGTTGATATCATTTTAAAATATTTCAAATTTTACTCTAAATTGTTTGTGAAAGTGATACAGCGGATAAGAGGCATCATACAGGAGTTGTGGTTGCCATAAAAATGCGCGGGACAGGCGCGCACCCTTTCGAAAAATCTCATGTTGGACATTTCAAATAATATGTTTGCTGTCTTTACTCCATCCGACTCCATCAAAGATATGTAAATTTAGCAATGCGCAACAGAGTCGGCGACGCTTTCCCTTTTCTAGGTTTTAACGGCTTATGATATTTTAATAGTTGCATAACAATATTATAGTGTTTTAAAGTTCACACTTTTATTTTGACACTGGTACAAAATAGCAAATTTCACTTTGACTTTAATGTTCGCCGCACTTTGACGGTCACTGGCGGAGTGTGTTGAGGAAGTTGGACAGATCGTACTCTTCATCGTACTGTGAAGCGTCCCACAGGTCGGGCAGGGTGGACAGGACGCTGCTGACCGAAGCCGCCTTTGCTCCAGACCCTGAAGATCCGCCGCCCTCCTCCTCCCTTCCCTTGTTCAGCGAGAACAGCTCCATCAGCTGCGCAAACACAAATTTCACACATTATTATTTTCCTATATTTTTTCCTAATAAAAGCACAAAATTGCTGTGGGATATTGACAAATAACCCTTTCATCAGACCCAGGCATTCTAAATGAGTCCTACATATCAATAAGCCCAATAAATCTGTGATAAAGATTTTTCTCATTTAAAAACCAAACTGGTAAATCTTATATTCATGTGTGAGAAAGTGAACAAATTTTATAGATGAAACCTTTTAACTTTGATGAAAAAATTAAGCTTTTTTAAACAAGTTTTTGCCTTTTGTCTACCAAAAAGAGAGTCAATATTTTCATCCAAAAAGAATGACGTATTTTAACCAAATTTAGAGACGCAACCAGGACGACAATCCTTTCAGATCTAAATTACTTTTGCAAAGCAGATAAATTCTACTTAGGTCATGGAATTTTTTTGAGCAATAGATTTATCAAAGAAATCCTTTCAAAAATTTCTATATAAAATAGGCTAAAATGCAGCTTTGCATAAAAATAAATCTCGAAAAATATGCCCGCCATGGTTAATAATTAAACAAATTCTGATTAAAACTCTTTTCCTACCTGGACTCCGCCCATGGCCTCCAAACTCTTGTTCTCGCTGTTGATCACGGTGTTTGCCGTCAGCAGTTTGAACTTTTGCAGTCTGCGTTTTAGGAGAGGAAAATAAATAATTAAAATAAAATTAATTTCATTAGAAAAATACCCCATGATTTTTTCCTCGAGGGTGGCGCGCGTGATGAGGCGGTAGACGTTCACGACCTTGCGCTGACCAATGCGGTGTGCCCTGTCCATGGCCTGCAGGTCCTTCATGGGGTTCCAGTCGTGCTCGACGAAGACGACCGTGTCGGCGCCGGTCAAGTTGAGGCCGAGGCCGCCAACCTGGGTGGTCAGCAGTAGCACGTCGATGGAGGGGTCGCTGTTGAAGCGCGACACAATCGAGTGGCGCTGTCCGGGAGGGACCGTCCCGTCCAGCCGCAGGTACGTCACCCCGGGCATGTGCCTCTTCAAAAGGTCCCTCTCCACAATGTCCAGCATCGCCTTCAGCTGGCAGAAAATGAGCGCCCGGTGCTGCTTGACCACCAACTCCTGCGTCTGCTCGCTCTCCTCTGCCCCGATTCCACAGTCCACCAGCAGTTGTCTGCAAATGATTAATTCATATTTAAATACAGAATGTCATAATAATAATTCAAGAAAAATATTTGAATTTTAAAGAATTCTTAGGAAATTATTGGGTAATTTCTGCCCATTGAAATGTACATTTGCAGTTTTAATGTCAAGAATTTCACCTCAAGGCAGGCAACTTGGCGGCGTGCTGGATGTCTGCGAGTGACGAGCCCTGCTGCTTCAGCTGCTGTTGGATTCTCTCAAACTGCGGATGCTGCGGCGTCAGAACTAGTTTCGGGTGGTTGCAAACGTTTTGCAAATAATGTAACGCCTGAAATTCAAAATTTTGTCAGAATTTACATTAGTATCTAATATTTCTTTGCATTTCTTTCTTTTTAAATCATTTGTTTTCATTAAACTTGATTTAAGTTAAAATTGAAGGAAAAAGGGGGAATTGAAAAGGAAATTAGTTCCTGGGGGTAGAGGCTGCAAAATTAACTTTTCCCTCTGTCAGCACACTTTCTTGGTGCTGAGGAAGAAACTCATTTTGAAGCCTCCATTTCACTTGGCTCTGGAAATATTATTTATTTTACTTTTTCCCTTTTTTCTTAAATTATTTCTTCTATCTCTACTAAAATAATATAAATGCTTCTTAATGGATCCTAATTTCTGGGTAAAGAATTTGTAGATAATTAATTTTTGTTTCTTTAGAATTTAATTTCGACCTGGAAAATGTGGTAGCGGTTGGGGACAGAAGAGGAGCCGGAGGAGTCTGCCGAAGCCCTGCTGATGGAGTCGTTGAGGCTTTGATGCGCCCTGGAGCGCTGGAAGTCCTCGTAGAGCTGCTGCTGAAGGGGGCTCAGCTCGCAGATGTAGTCCTGCGTGATCTTGGGCGGCAGGTCCTTCAACACGTCCTCCTTCATTCGTCGCAGCAGGAACGGCAGCACTTGTCTGTGCAGAGATTCCATTGCCAGCACCCCTGGTATGTATTTTATTTAATTTTCATTTAAAGGTAAAAATCTCAAGAAGACAAACCGGCTTCCTGCTCCTTGGGGCTGCTCTTGGGGTCGCGGCTCGCAAGAATGGGGCGGCTGTAGCGGGCAGTGAACTGGCGCTCGGTGCCCAGGAAACTGGGCATCAGGAAGTCGAAGAGTGACCACAACTCCAGGACATTGTTCTGGATAGGGGTGCCTGAGAGGATGAGCCGGTGGTTTGCCACCAACTGCTTGATTGCCTTCGAAGACTTAAAAGTTTTTTTATTAAAAAATAGATTAAATTGTAAGAATAAATAATTTAGTCTTACTTTGGTTTTGCCGTTTTTGATGACGTGGCCCTCGTCCAAAATGCAGTAGTTCCACTTGATTGAGCTGAAGAAGGAGATGTCCTTGCGCACAATGTCGTACGAGGCGACTATCAGGTTGTGCTGTTTGACTCGGCTGCGCAACCTTGGGAGTTATAAAATGGATTTTATTAATTTTATAACATTAAAATTAAAAAGCCATATGCTTTACAAATTTTCTTAGCAATTATTATCAATTGGTTTTATAATGTCCTTATGTTTAAAAAAATAATGCTAGAATAACAAAAAAAATTAAAAATTACAGTTAGGATTAAAAGATGCAAAGAGAAATATTTACTAACAAAAATTTAAATGTGAACATTTTAACAAACCTAATTCAAAACTTAATTTCAATAAATAAATTACTTTTCTCGCTCGTTGGGTGGTCCAACGTACTGCAAAGGGTTGAGGTACTTTTTGGAGAGGAATTTGGCAACTTCGTCGACCCAGTGTCCGGTGAGGGTGGGCGGACAAACGACCAAAGAGGGCAGCGGCGAGTACTCGGGCAGTCGGGTGCGTCGGAAGTTTTCGGCGCGCGTCCAGTGGTCGCCGGCGAGGATGCAGATGGACTGCAGGGTCTTGCCGAGGCCCATGTCGTCGCACAGGATGCCGTGCAGGTTGTAGCGGTTGAGGAAGGAAAGCCAGTTGACGCCGGCCTGCTGGTAGGAGCGCAGCTCGGCCTTGAGCGGCACCGGCACCTTGTAGTCCTCGATGGTGCTCGGGCTGAAGAGCTGCCGCAGGAAGAGGCGCTGCTCTTCACGTCGCGCCCCCAGACACGCCTCCAGGCCTTCCGCCTCCGCCACCGCGCCGTCCAGCGGCATCAGCTGGATCAGCGTGGCAAAGCTGTGCGTCGCCATCATCCGGACAGACGCGTTTTGGTCACTCATTCGACCTGGCAAATTACAAATTTGAAGAAATTTCAAGAAAATTATTTTTAATATTAATTAATTTCATGAAAGCTCCGCAATGGATCACAATTTTGGGAAAGATTTTGTAAATAATGAAAATTATATTGATGAAGAATAAATCCCAAAAGAAATCTTTAATTGTTGACTCTTCAAATTATTTATTTACTTATTTTTAAATTAAAAACTTGAAAAAGCCAATAAATAAATAATGAATTACCCAAGACTGGAACAGCAAGAAGAACGGCGTAGGGAACAACCTGGATTCCGAGTAGGTCAACAAGACAGGCAATGCATTCGATGCCGCCCTGTCTCCAAGTCTCTTCTGAGGACTCTAAAAGTGGCAAAACGCGCTCCACCAGAGCTGTCACAACCGCCACAGAGTCCAGTTTGCCTAAGACGGCCAAAACGCGCGCACTCATGTGACGAACGGCGCGAAAATTGTGACTCAACATGCCGCAAAACGACAAAAGACCTTCCTCAATCTAAGGAAAGAAGCAAAAAAAAAAAAATACTTTTATCTTAACAGTTTAAAAGATATTTTTAAAAAAAGTTTTAATTTAATTTTCAGAAAATACAAGATTTTCAACAATTACTTAAATTATTTGTAGAATTTTTTTAATTCATTTTAATTTATAGCACAAAAATAAATACTCCAGAATTACCTGAGGTCTTAAAGCCTGATTCAAACTGGGCAGGACAACTTCTAAGACTTGGAGACCAGCAATCAAACTTTCTGCCACTGCTTTTTTCTCAGCAGCAGTACCTAAAGTTTTTTTATTCTTTGGTCAAAACTCGATATGAAATTCAAAATCTACCATCGGCTGGAGATGGAGGCAGTCTGGTGGCTGAGAGCAGAGTTTCCCAAAAGGTGGGCAGTTTCTGTGGCAATTCCGCACCAAAATGCGCCGTTATGGCACTCAGTCCCAGGGTGGCGCCCTGACGCATCAACTCTCTTGCCCGTTGAGCCTGCCAAAGTTCATTTAATGAAAAAGGGCAGAGTAAATATTAAGTATGAAACCTCGTCCTCGGTGCACATGAGTTCCTCGAGGGCAAATTCAGGAGAGGCTACAACGGCGGCCGGTCTTCCAGGACCTCTGCCTGTGACGGAGGTGGCGCGCTTCAGGACAGCCCTTTCAGCATTCTTCTGCTGATTGATCAGGGTCAGGATGCCTAGCGTGTTGCTCGGAATGTTGATGCTCGCTTGCGCGTCACCTTTCAACTCCTTTGACTCATCCTTAAATTTGAATAAATATATTTCATTTTTCTTAATTTTACTTCTTAAATTAAAAATCATTAAATACGCAGCAATAATAATGTTAGTAAATTTCAAGTCGAGCTATTTAAATTTAATTACTTAAAAAAAAACCTTTGAAAAAGCTAATTGAACCTTCCTTAGTCTAATCTTGGAATAATTAATTGTGCCTACCATAATGACAGGAGTGAATTCAGGGTCGGCACGTAGGAATACGCACAGGTTGGTCACAATTTTTGAGTTTGGCGACGGCGTTCGACCAACACACCTGTCCATCAGCCGCGTCAGTTGCTCAGCGGCCAGTCTCTGATGGCGAAAAAGTCTGAACTTCGATACAAAATCAGAGTAGTGCTAATTTTTTACTTGGAACATTTCGTTCTGCTCCTTCTTGATCGCCTCCATCAGTGGTTTGACAACAGGGTGAAGCTTTTCTGGTAGGCAGCCCATGCTCACTATGGCTCCGGCAATCGCAGCTTGGGTTCTGCAAAGGAAAATGTGAAGATTTTTATAATAAATTAATATGAAATAAGAATGCAACTTAAAAAAATAGTTCAAACTTAACACTTTTGATTCTGAAAATAATTGTACAATGTAAAAATAAATAAACTTACGTAATTGCAAGGGATGATTGGTGGAGGCTGGTCTGTGAGACCGAGTGTTGGATGGCGGCTCGACGCTGCTCGAGCGTTTCTGCAGTCTTGGGTTTGAGTTTGGCGTTGGCCACGGTCTGCTGGGTGGTGGCGCCCGAGAGCTGCGAGATCTGCTCGAGGGTGAGCACCGAACCCTCGGAATGGGCCACCGGCACCTGGTAGTGGCGCAGCATTGCCACAAAATCCTTTGTCTCCTGCAGCAGTTTTGTGAACGTCACGGCGATCTCGTCAAAGTAGACGCTCTCGGACAGGCACTGCTGCAGACGCGCCACCAGCTCCGAGTGGGACGCCTCCTCCGGCTCAACCTGCGCCCACCACCGCACCACCAGACCCACCACCAGCCTCTGCAGCGACGACTTTGACTGCAAATGCACCAGTAGCACCTTAAATTGACAAGATTTACGTTTTAGATTAACAATTTCATACATGAAAAATATAAAGCATAATTTTAACAACATTATTATGGAGGATTTTAAATTTATTGAATTCTTTTTGACTAAATTTACACAAAAATTGAACTTCAATGCATATAGCATGATAGACTTTTCGTTAATTAATTTTCTACTAAAACTTATCCAAAGACAAAATACTCCAAACTGCTGCACTTCAATGACCTATAATTGAACATTAAAATAATTACTTTGACGTAGCATTCAATAGGAGGAGTTCCTGGCACGCCTTCGAGGCCTGGAAAGGGTTTGACTAAGTAGACTGAGAGTTTGCCCAGCATGCGGCTCGCCATGCAGCGCGCCCTGACCACACTCAACTCTGACCCTGGTGAGTCTCCGCCGCCGATGAACCACTTTGGCTCGGCCACAGTCATGTGATTCTCGTCGGACTCGCCAGGGACACAATTTGACTTCTTGCTTGACTTGTTCTGTAACAAAAATTAAAAAGGATCTTTTAATTATTATGCCAAATTTTAGTTTGACTAAATAAAAAATTATTGTAAAAATAGCAGCCCAGTTAAAACATTTGTATTACGATGAATTTGATGAAAACTTTCAGGTAAGTTTATTTCGTTATTCACTTACCATTTTGGCTTTAATGAGTATGGAGGGGTCGAAGGGGATTTTGTGAGACTGCATGGCAAGGCAGAGCCAGGAGCTGGCGACCGGACACGCAGCCATCAGGACTTCCTCCAAAGGGCAGTTCCTCAGCAATTTTTCCCAGACCTATGAAGAACAAAAAAGTGAAAAAAATTACAGTTCCATAATTTCAAACCTGCTCTGCAAGGGTCTGGATTTCAGGGTTGGTTTCCAACAGGGCTCTTTGGTAGATGTGCCTGAGGGCGTCCTGCAGGAGGGAGGGGGCGGTGGGGTCGACGGGCACGCCGAGAGTGGTGATCGAGTTGGCCAGCGTGGACAGGGTCTGCAGGGTGGACCTTCGGACAGCCGAGGAGGTGTGGCCGAGGAAGGGCCACAGCTGTGGAAGGCGCTGCTGCAGGTGCAGGGCCTCACTGTCCGTGGGCGGCCGCTGCGCCACCAGGGCGGCCAGCAGGGCCATGTAGCTGTTGCTGGCGGCTGCCAGTTCGTCCTGCTCGGCCAGCAGGGTCCACAGACGGTCGACGGTGGGGCCGAGCTGCTCGGGGAAACGCGCGGCCAACTCGGAGGCGGCCGGCACCAGGGCGGCCGCCGCCACCGCCCCCACGTCCTCGACAGGGTCGTCGAGACCCCGCAGCATGTGTGGCAAGGAGGTGGGCAGCAAGCGGATGTCCTCACCACCCTTGACCGCCACCAGGTACTTGAGGCCAAGCAGTCCGCCGTGCCGAGCCTCCCACTCAGGTCGAGACAACAGACGCAGCACCGTCGCCACCACCTTCTGCACAGCCTCTGAACTCATCAGGCACGCCAATACACCTAGAAAACCATACAGATTTTTTTGTCAGTTACAAAAAAAAAAATAAGATTCTTATAAGTTCAGAAAATTTTTCTCAAATCTATCTAGCTGGAGGAATAAACCGCAAGAAAAATATTTCTTATTTTCCTTACCTAATGTTTGAGCACATGTTTCTCGGACAGGAGCAACAACCTGGTCGGAGACAAAGTCGCCAAACCTGTCGAGCGCCAACACACAGACAATCCTTAGGGCCACGTCCTCCAGCCACGCCTCATGGGCACCAGCCATCTGCAAATTCATCTGTGATTAACCTCTTTGGCAGTGGCAATTCAGTGTTACCCGAGTAGAGGTCATGTCGGCCGCCTTGCCAGCGCCCGCACCGTGCACCTTGAGCACCTCCCTGAGGGCCGTGGCCGCTCCGTGCCGCACCTCCCACGCAGAACTGAACAGGTCCTGGCCCAACTGTGCGCAGAACTCCTCAAAGGGCCATCCAGTGGCGTGCTTAAAGTGGCAAGAAGTCAGGTCAAAAGGTCATAAGGTTGTAAGTTTTTACCTCTTCCCAGAGAGCAGTTCCTTCGGTCGGACACTCGGCCGTGCTCAGGTCGTGTTCCTCTTGCTCCTGCTTGACCTCTACCTTGGGCCGCTTGCTTTCAGGGGCTTCTGCGTCCTCAGATGTCTCCTTCGACCTTTGCTTGGCCACCAGACGTGCCACCCGCTTGGCTCGGTTCATCTCACGTGAACTCAAACCGTCCCCTTGAGCAATGTTCAGAGCACTTTGCTGTAAAAATAGTTGACAATTAACTTATTAAAAAAAAATTGACAACAATTTAAATATTTTTATTTTTTTAAATTAAAAATATAGTTTCTTTTTTCAATTTAAACAAAGCATTTTGTTAAATTATGAGAAATTTTACTATTATCTTTAGTTAGATGTTTTTTTCTTCTTCAAAAAATTAATAATGAAATGGAAACAATTTATATTTTAAAAGCATAACTATAACAATTACTTTGCAGTTTTTCTCCTGCGGACAGGAGGGAATGAGGTCTTCGTCCGTGATGAGCCCTTCGGCAACCTCTGCATTTTCAGGGAGGCCGAGTGTGGCATTGAGAGCGGCCTTTTGACTGGCCAGTCTCTCAGCCGCACCCTCCTCCTTCATGTCCAGTTCAAACTCGTTGCCCTCTGAACCAACCAGGTGGTTGCCCTCCATGATGACCTTCTCTAGGTCGAAGGTCTCAAAGGTCAGCCTTCCTTCCGCACTCCCTTCACCTTCCTCTTCTGCAAAACAAAAATTTAATACCTTTGTAAATTACAAATCACGTTGAGAAGGACCTGTTTTGATTTGGGCAGGAGGAGGGTCCCACGGCGGGACGCTGCGGACGACGGCCTCGACCGCCTGTCCGGCGGCGATTCGAGTGTCCCAAGAGGGCGCCCTGAGCAAAAGGGAGATCCTGGCCAGCAGGTGGTGCAGGTCGTGCGGGTGCAACCGCTGCACCTGGCCCAACTGCTGGGCGGCCGCCTTCCTCGTCGCCGCCGAAGACCCGCTCTCGAGCAGCACAAACAGCCTGTCCAGTCGCGACGTCATGGTCAGGATTTATTCTCCTTGGACTCTCTTCTCGTCTCTCAAATCGCCATCCCTCGCCGAAAACTCACGTGTCACGCCTGCAAAGTACCAAGTCGAATCAATAATCAACTGACCTCGGTCGAGACCTGACTTCCCCCGGACACCCTGGCGTATGTGCCACACACACTGCTGTTCAGAAAGTTAAAACGGTACTTTCCTAGTACACACATGCACGTCTACGTACCGCTGTGGAGAGGCTCGCAGGCCGATCAAGGACACTTGCCCGTCCCTTCCGTCGTCCGTTCCATCGCCAGGTCGGCCCAGGTGATCCTTTTCTAATCAGGTTTTTCCAAAGGCCGGCACTTTTCTCTTCCTGTTCGACGTCCGTCTGTAGTCTGTATGCAAAGCAAATGTTATGGTACAAGACCACGCCCCCTTCCAACAGCCAATCGGAGCGAATGAACTGCTTTTTGAAAGTACCGTGTCAGCGAAGCCACGTGCAAACTTGTGACATCCCCGCGTCTTAAAATTTCGCCCTCTAACTTTATATCTTTTGCTCGACTTAAAAAACATATACATCGTAATAAGAGCTGAGCAAAATATGATGTAACTCAAGAGGAGCTACGCTTTTGGCACAAAATGAATAAGTCATAATTATATTATATAATTATGATGTGCCATTATTGTTGTGCAAAATGTCATAAAATCACATTTCAGAATTAAACACAACTATTAATACTTTGTATTGTTGAAACTACGTTATTAGTATTGATTGTTGCTGTTTATTTTCTAAATATTTTACAAACACATTGTTTACATCCAATTGTAGAAAATCAATCATTTTAAAGCCACTTTAACGTTAAAGCTGTATTTTCTGAGATTCATTTTATCTGCTAGTGTTAATTTTACATTCTGCGTGATTTTTAACCATGTAAGTAATATTATAATAATCAGATATTATGTCGTCGCTCCAGCGCACTCCCTCTTTGAAATAAGACCAGAGAGCGAAAATTCGCTCTTCTTATATAGCTCTCAATACAGGTAGAGATTGTTAAGACAAACTGCGAGGAGAGGAGAAAAAATTGAGCGTAGCGATGACTTTTAATTGAGGGACGCAATTTGTATTAGATAAATTTAGTAAACTTATTAATGTTGTTAGCGTCATATTTTTAGTTACATTTTTGACGCATGATAATCACGCAATCTTTTTAAACTGCGGGTCATACATAGCGTTTAACAAAATTCCCAATAAGCGACTGTGAGCCTTTTTAGAATATTGGGCCGGACGTCAAAAGCGACAATCATGCACGGCTTGCAGCATTTGTTCTATATTAAAAAAATATATGCATTATAAATTGCATGTCTTCTGAAATTCCATCGAATTACTTGAAAACTGTGTCGATAAAATAGTCTCTTTTTATTTTTTTATCTGCACTTTCTTAAACAATTTAATTAACAGCGTTTATTTAATAACTTATTCCTTCAAAGGTCAGCAGCTCCTAGAGCTGTAGGACAAGAAGTGAAAATAAGATCAGCTTTAGCGATCTTAAAGAGTGTTGGAGGTGCCGATGCCAAAGTCTGGCTTGACCAAAATGGACCATGCTTTGATCGCCATGTGGTGGAGATCTACAATCGCTGGATAAAAAAGGATGCTGCAACCAGTAAGAAATTTTTGGATCAGAGTCGGAGCCTGATTCAGGAATTAATGGTTGAAGGTAAATTGAAATTAGCTGAAAATATTTTTCAGGCATTTAATTTTTTAGGTCGAGAGGCACAAGAAAGATCCACTTGTTTTTATCCGGAGAGTGCGGTTCGAACCTGCTTTGAGAATACTCGGACGTCGCAAAGTGATGCCAAGCGTCTTCGACAAGAGAAACAACCAGAATTTGGTATATATTTTTTTTTATCAAGAAATCTTATCCGCGTGCAGTTTTTAGGCAGCGCCTCAGCCGATAAGTTTTGCTCTGCGGAGTCTGCGGCTTAAATTGATTATTATTTAAATCTTCCAGCGCACTGTGTGTGTGTGTGGAAACTTCTGTTTTCTGTTTAAATATATTATGTGACTCTTTCAGGTATCAAGCCTCTTGTGAGTAATAAAAAGCACGGACCGCACTATAAGAGAGCCAACAGCACCCGTGAGTTCAAATTGACTATCTCACGTTAAATTTAATATCCTTGCTTGAAATAGCTTTGTTTGGCGAGGGAGGAGAAAAACTAAAGAAGGAGCCCAATGAGCTGTTAAGCCTTAAGGACACCCCACAAAAAATAAAACCCTGGATCAAGGACAACAACTGCACTAATTCGTCTGCAATTTACATGGCTATTGTGGCACTTCGTGCTGGTGTAAGTATATATTTTCCCCATAAAGCTAATAAGTTAATTTTCTAAAACATTATGGCACATATTAGCTTCAATTTAAAATTATAGGGTGTGATATCATTTGACGAGTTGGTGCAGGACATTGCTGATCCGGACCTGTGGCTGATGTTTGAGTTGCTAAGAGCAGGCAAAGGGACGCCGACAGAAGAATCGGAGCAGGCGAGAGTGAGAAGTGTTGTGCGATTGTATGATTAATCTTTTATTTATCATTTATTTAAGAGGTTTTAATAAGTGATTCATGAAAACAGGAAGCCTAAAATACACCACCTGGCGAAGAATGAAGCTTGCCGAGACCACCATGTATGGTGGGTGAGGGAGGGCTTTCGCTACCAAACCAAAAGGGCCCACTTTGCCACTTGTTCCTCATGCAACACGAGCTTCGACGTCCAGCGAAACTCAAATGTACTAAAAGAGGAGTTTTTTAAGTACCTGGCGAAGTTGCAAGGCACAAAAGGACCAGGTTCTGCAGACCTCGAACAGTTTGCCTGTCCCCAGGTATTAATGGTTATACTTTTAAGGTGAACAACTTACATCAAGTTGAAAATTATTTAAAACAGTGCAGAGAAGAACGCCCGTGTAGAGAAGAAATACAAGTTTCCTCATCCGTAATTCTCATTGAGCACCTCCGACAAGACAGGCCACCGGAAAAGGTTAGTGACCCAACGATTTTGCTGCAAGAGTACCCACAGGTAGTGACTATTGGCAAGAAGCTCTGGAAATTTGCTTGCGCATGTAAGCCTTATTAATCCGTTTATTTTCTTTTTTATCATAATCATGATTCTAATACAGCTGTTAGCGAATTCGGTCCTGATAAATACGCCCATCAGTTAGTGCTTTTGAGGACGGATGCGGGGCACATCAAAGCCATTTGCGATTCTTCTCCTGAAGACTGGGCAAAACCATACCCCGGCGCCACGGATACTGAGTTTGATAGATTGTACATCAACTATGTTTTGTTCGTTCCTGTTGAAAAATAGGTATACAATCGATAACCAATTTCCCAATGAGTTATTTGAACTTTTTATAGACACTAATGACGGCTCATAGCGGTTATTTTGTATCCGCACACGGCTTGAAACTAACAGAAAAGAAGCCGACACTCCTCGCTGTAACAGTTTATAAAAAAAACTCCTCTTCCTGTCACCTCATGAGAACCGGACAGTTTTCTGCGATGCGGAAGGCCTCATCGATCAGATCAAGGCTTGCTGTGTGCAATAATTGCTCAGCAAGCAGTATACAAAAAAGGTCAACGGTGTGGCCGAGCTGCTCAGGGAAAAGCGGCACGCGCGGCCAGCTCGGAGGCGGCCGGTCCCAGGGCGCAGCCAACGTCCACTACAGAGTCGTCGAGACCTCGCAGCATGTGTGGCAAGGAGGTGGGCAGCAACCGGATGTCCTCACCACCCTTGACCGCCACCAGGTACTTGAGGCCAAGCAGTCCGCCGTGCCGAGCCTCCCACTCGGGCCGAGACAACAGACGCAGCACCGTGGCCACAACCTTATGCACAGCCTCTGAACTCATCAGGCACGCCAATACACCTAGAAAACCATACAGATTTTTTTGTCAGTTACAAAAGAAAAAAAAATAAGATTCTTAAAAGTTCAGAAAATTTTTCTCAAATCTATCTAAATTCAAAATCTTGGCTTTTCACTTTATGAATTCAAGTTCTGGCATCCGCTGATATACATTTTGGCGTTTTCAATACTCTGTGAGCATTAAAATCAAAAAATTGCCACCTGACGATTTTGCACAAAATAAATTATAGACGTATTTTTAATAAATTTTGCTTTCACATTTTTAGTTAAATTTGACCAACTAACCCACATACCGCACATATTTAACAAATAATTTAAATTATGGCTAAAGTTTCATCTCCATCGGAACTTTCAGCGCTCAGTGACGAAGAATTCAGAATTTAGCGTCCTGCCGATTTCGCTCCAAATTAAGTAAAATCGTAATTTTTCGTGATTTTGACGCGAACTATTAGGATTATAATTAAAATAAAAAATTCAAAATCTTCGCTTTACACTTTATGAATTCATGTTTTGGCATCCGCTGAGATACATTTTGGCGTTTTCAAGCATTAAAATAAAAAAATTGCCACCTGAAGATTTTGCACAAAATAAATTATAGACGTATTTTTAATAAATTTTACTTTCACATTTTTAGTTAAATTTGACCAACTAACCCACATACCGCACATATTTAACAAATAATTTAGATTATGGCTAAAGTTTCATCTCCATCGGAACTTTCAGCGCTCAGTGACGAAGAATTCAGAATTTAGCGTCCCGCCGATTTCGCTCCAAATTAAGTAAAATCGTAATTTTTCGTGATTTTGACGCGAACTATTAGAATTATAATTAAACTAAAAATTCAAAATCTTGCCTTTTGACTTTATGAATTCAAGTTCTGGCATCCGCTGAGATACATTTTGGCGTTTTCAATACTCTGTGAGCATTAAAATCAAAAAATTGCCACCTGACGATTTTGCACAAAATAAATTATAGACGTATTTTTAATAAATTTGTCTTTCACATTTTTAGTTAAATTTGACCAACTAACCCACATACCGCACATATTTAACAAATAATTTAAATTATGGCTAAAGTTTCATCTCCATCGGAACTTTCAGCGCTCAGTGACGAAGAATTCAGAATTTAGCGTCCCGCCGATGTCGCTCCAAATTAAGTAAAATCGTAATTTTTCGTGATTTTGACGCGAACTATTAGAATTATAATTAAACTAAAAATTCAAAATCTTGGCTTTTCACTTTATGAATTCAAGTTCTGGCATCCGCTGAGATACATTTTGGCGTTTTCAAGCATTAAAATAAAAAAATTGCCACCTGAAGATTTTGCACAAAATAAATTATAGACGTATTTTTAATAAATTTTACTTTCACATTTTTAGTTAAATTTGACCAACTAACCCACATACCGCACATATTTAACAAATAATTTAGATTATGGCTAAAGTTTCATCTCCATCGGAACTTTCAGCGCTCAGTGACGAAGAATTCAGAATTTAGCGTCCCGCCGATTTCGCTCCAAATTAAGTAAAATCGTAATTTTTCGTGATTTTGACGCGAACTATTAGAATTATAATTAAACTAAAAATTCAAAATCTTGCCTTTTGACTTTATGAATTCAAGTTCTGGCATCCGCTGAGATACATTTTGGCGTTTTCAATACTCTGTGAGCATTAAAATCAAAAAATTGCCACCTGACGATTTTGCACAAAATAAATTATAGACGTATTTTTAATAAATTTGTCTTTCACATTTTTAGTTAAATTTGACCAACTAACCCACATACCGCACATATTTAACAAATAATTTAAATTATGGCTAAAGTTTCATCTCCATCGGAACTTTCAGCGCTCAGTGACGAAGAATTCAGAATTTAGCGTCCCGCCGATGTCGCTCCAAATTAAGTAAAATCGTAATTTTTCGTGATTTTGACGCGAACTATTAGGATAATAATTAAAATAAAAATTCAAAATCTTCGCTTTACACTTTATGAATTCATGTTTTGGCATCCGCTGAGATACATTTTGGCGTTTTCAAGCATTAAAATCAAAAAATTGCCACCTGACGATTTTGCACAAAATAAATTATAGACGTATTTTTAATAAATTTTGCTTTCACATTTTTAGTTAAATTTGACCAACTAACCCACTTACCGCACATATTTAACAAATAATTTAAATTATGGCTAAAGTTTCATCTCCATCGGAACTTTCAGCGCTCAGTGACGAAGAATTCAGAATTTAGCGTCCTGCCGATTTCGCTCCAAAATAAGTAAAATCGTAATTTTTCGTGATTTTGACGCGAACTATTAGAATTATAATTAAACTAAAAATTCAAAATCTTGCCTTTTGACTTTATGAATTCATGTTTTGGCATCCGCTGAGATACATTTTGGCGTTTTCAATACTCTCTGAGCATTAAAATCAAAAAATTGCCACATGACGATTTTGCACAAAATAAATTATAGACGTATTTTTAATAAATTTTGCTTTCACATTTTTAGTTAAATTTGACCAACTAACCCACTTACCGCACATATTTAACAAATAATTTAAATTATGGCTAAAGTTTCATCTCCATCGGAACTTTCAGCGCACAGTGACGAAGAATTCAGAATTTAGCGTCCTGCCGATTTCGCTCCAAAATAAGTAAAATCGTAATTTTTCGTGATTTTGACGCGAACTATTAGAATTATAATTAAACTAAAAATTCAAAATCTTGGCTTTTCACTTTATGAATTCAAGTTCTGGCATCCGCTGAGATACATTTTGGCGTTTTCAATACTCTGTGAGCATTAAAATCAAAAAATTGCCACATGACGATTTTGCACAAAATAAATTATAGACGTATTTTTAATAAATTTGTCTTTCACATTTTTAGTTAAATTTGACCAACTAACCCACATACCGCACATATTTAACAAATAATTTAAATTATGGCTAAAGTTTCATCTCCATCGGAACTTTCAGCGCTCAGTGACGAAGAATTCAGAATTTAGCGTCCCGCCGATTTCGCTCCAAATTAAGTAAAATCGTAATTTTTCGTGATTTTGACGCGAACTATTAGAATTATAATTAAACTAAAAATTCAAAATCTTGGCTTTTCACTTTATGAATTCAAGTTCTGGCATCCGCTGAGATACATTTTGGCGTTTTCAAGCATTAAAATAAAAAAATTGCCACCTGAAGATTTTGCACAAAATAAATTATAGACGTATTTTTAATAAATTTTGCTTTCACATTTTTAGTTAAATTTGACCAACTAACCCACATACCGCACATATTTAACAAATAATTTAAATTATGGCTAAAGTTTCATCTCCATCGGAACTTTCAGCGCTCAGTGACGAAGAATTCAGAATTTAGCGTCCCGCCGATGTCGCTCCAAATTAAGTAAAATCGTAATTTTTCGTGATTTTGACGCGAACTATTTGGATAATAATTAAAATAAAAATTCAAAATCTTCGCTTTACACTTTATGAATTCATGTTTTGGCATCCGCTGAGATACATTTTGGCGTTTTCAAGCATTAAAATCAAAAAATTGCCACCTGACGATTTTGCACAAAATAAATTATAGACGTATTTTTAATAAATTTTGCTTTCACATTTTTAGTTAAATTTGACCAACTAACCCACTTACCGCACATATTTAACAAATAATTTAAATTATGGCTAAAGTTTCATCTCCATCGGAACTTTCAGCGCTCAGTGACGAAGAATTCAGAATTTAGCGTCCCGCCGATTTCGCTCCAAAATAAGTAAAATCGTAATTTTTCGTGATTTTGACGCGAACTATTAGAATTATAATTAAACTAAAAATTCAAAATCTTGGCTTTTCACTTTATGAATTCAAGTTCTGGCATCCGCTGAGATACATTTTGGCGTTTTCAATACTCTGTGAGCATTAAAATCAAAAAATTGCCACATGACGATTTTGCACAAAATAAATTATAGACGTATTTTTAATAAATTTGTCTTTCACATTTTTAGTTAAATTTGACCAACTAACCCACATACCGCACATATTTAACAAATAATTTAAATTATGGCTAAAGTTTCATCTCCATCGGAACTTTCAGCGCTCAGTGACGAAGAATTCAGAATTTAGCGTCCTGCCGATTTCGCTCCAAATTAAGTAAAATCGTAATTTTTCGTGATTTTGACGCGAACTATTAGAATTATAATTAAACTAAAAATTCAAAATCTTGGCTTTTCACTTTATGAATTCAAGTTCTGGCATCCGCTGAGATACATTTTGGCGTTTTCAATACTCTGTGAGCATTAAAATCAAAAAATTGCCACATGACGATTTTGCACAAAATAAATTATAGACGTATTTTTAATAAATTTGTCTTTCACATTTTTAGTTAAATTTGACCAACTAACCCACATACCGCACATATTTAACAAATAATTTAAATTATGGCTAAAGTTTCATCTCCATCGGAACTTTCAGCGCTCAGTGACGAAGAATTCAGAATTTAGCGTCCTGCCGATTTCGCTCCAAATTAAGTAAAATCGTAATTTTTCGTGATTTTGACGCGAACTATTAGAATTATAATTAAACTAAAAATTCAAAATCTTGGCTTTTCACTTTATGAATTCAAGTTCTGGCATCCGCTGAGATACATTTTGGCGTTTTCAATACTCTGTGAGCATTAAAATCAAAAAATTGCCACATGACGATTTTGCACAAAATAAATTATAGACGTATTTTTAATAAATTTGTCTTTCACATTTTTAGTTAAATTTGACCAACTAACCCACATACCGCACATATTTAACAAATAATTTAAATTATGGCTAAAGTTTCATCTCCATCGGAACTTTCAGCGCTCAGTGACGAAGAATTCAGAATTTAGCGTCCTGCCGATTTCGCTCCAAATTAAGTAAAATCGTAATTTTTCGTGATTTTGACGCGAACTATTAGAATTATAATTAAACTAAAAATTCAAAATCTTGGCTTTTCACTTTATGAATTCAAGTTCTGGCATCCGCTGAGATAC